TAGCTTCCCGCAGGCAGTCTCAGTTCTGACTGGAGCATGCCACATGGCACTCTAGCAGTGATTTAAAGGGCCCGGGCTCTGACTGCCACAGTAGCAGCAGTGGTGGGTGGGAGCCCTGGGGCCTTTTGAATCACCAGACCAGACTAGGGCTGTTGACTCCTCTCCCTCTCGCCCCCCCCCCCACGCCTATACAACAGGCTGGTCTCCTTTACTGCATGTGTGAACTCTTCATCTAAAGCTACATTTAGCTGAAGGTTGTGGTTGGTCCCAAAGCCCTTGGATACTCTGGGTCAACTGAATGCCCAAACAGGAAAGCAAATATTTTGTTGAATATAGCATTAGTAAGGCCACATGAGTGTCCTCTATATAGTATGATACATCATGTTTTTAAAATAAATGATAAACTGGAGGGGAACTCAAAGGGTACAGGAATCATAAGATAATTACAAAATATGATTTATGCAGAGACAGTAAAGAAATTTAACATGTACAGTCTAGAGGAATGATGAAAAGTACGTACGAAAACTATCCAAACACATGGGAATTCAGAGATTTAAATGGAGAACAATTGTAAAGCTTAAAGAATGTCATGACAATTTAAAATAGAAGGCATTTCTAAATAAAATAGAAATCCTGGATTTTGCCAAGGCTTACACCCTCTGAGTAGTAGCACTAAAGTCAATGAAACTACATGCACGTGTGTACATTTTTGCAAGAACAGGACATAAGATAGAGAAAGATGAGACAGAATAATTGAAAGGGTGGTGTTAACCACTAACATTAAGGGATACATTTTCAAAAGGACCTTTACCAGGCCTTAACTTGTATCTGCATAAAGTAACATACAACCATGCACATGTACACCTTCAGTACATCTGCAGGCACTAGAAACAATCATTTGGGTGTGTACAAACTAGTGTTTAAATGTACATGTTGGTAATTACACCACTTCAGTGTATGAAAACTTTGTATATAAACATATGCAACCTGAAGTCTGAAAATGTACCCCTAAAGGTGTATCCAAGTTCTCTTTTGAAAACAGCTAAGATTATTAGAGTGGAAAATCCAGAAGAAAGTACTAATTGACCCAGGATTCCATGTCAATCTCCATCATCCAAAACACTGCAGTACTAAAAACAAATAATTTGGATAGAGAGTGAAGCATAATCTATCACCATGACATTCTCAAAAAAATATCTGTGAAAAACATCGGTTCAGGATATACTGACAAGGTCTTATGGTAGAAACATCAGATGGTCTATGTTTCAGTGTGTCCAGGCCTAGCTGAATTAGTGTCTCTTCTGTTCCTAATTGTACTATTTCTAAAGAGTTAAAAGCTGGATCGTTTTGGAGTATCTCTTATAAATTTGGGGTATGATAATTTCCCAATCACATGAAGCAACCATTACACAAAGGGAAAAATTACCATAGCCCTAATGTACTAGAGAGACTTCAAAAAAATCCAGTTTTGTATTTTTAGAAGTAGTAAAACTGGGCATAGAAGAAATACTAATTCAGCAAGGTCTGGACAAACCTGCCACTTAACATCATCAGGGTTATTGAGGAAGAGGATGTAAATGAAAACAATGGTGAATATATTGCCAGGTATTCTGATTTAAATTCTGAGTATTCACATGAGATTAATTTTGTATTTCTTTCCCTTCAGCTATTTTTACCATTAGCTGTGAGACTGGAGAAACTCGTGGCAGTTTAGACCAACATTCAGTGGTCAGAGAATTTCCCACTAAGATTGTGCCTTGTTCATCTTTGAAAAAAAAATTATTTATAATTTTATTTCTGTATATAATTCTTTGGTGCTAATCTCTGTAGTTTCACAGTGCTTTCACAAACATCAATTAATCCTCCCAACAGTTCACAATAGCAAAGATTATCCTCTTTTTAAGAGGGAGAAGCTGAGCCCGAGAGGCTGTCCAAAGCTAAAGAGAAAGGTAGAGCACACTAGATCCTGGCTTCCATATTAATTCTCAGACCACTATACCAATCAACTCACTCTCTGGTGACAATCTGATCAAATAAAACAAAATTCACGCTCATGTCTATTACACAGATGGTAATCAACTTCCCACATTGAAGTTTAGCAAAACTGAAATGTTAGGGGACAGAACACAAAACACTACTGAAGGAAAAATATTTGAGTTTAGTATCAGAATGGTCATATGAAGAAAATGTCTCAGTATTTTCAGAAAATGAGATGCCATCCAAACAGTTACAAAATTAAGTGAAATGGAAACAGGAAAACAAACAAACCACTTCAAAACAGCAGCCACGATGCAGAATCTCACAATATGAGTTTTCATTTAACTTAAGTGATCAGGAAATTAGTATTGTGGTAGTTTCTGCAAATACATAAAATACGGCAAGTTTCCAAGTGTAATGTGCACAAATAATTCTCATTAACTTTTGTGCAGAAGGCCTGGGAAGAACAGATGTCCTCAAGTGTTTTAAGTTCAAAACAGCTGGTTTTCTGCATGTTCTAAACAAGTGTCAAAAGTAAATTACACTACAGTGTGTGCATATTGTACATTTATGAGTACCATAGTAAGTAAAAGAGATGTAGCCGTGCTAGTCTGATTTTGCTGAAACAAAAGAGAGGACTATGCAGCCCACGAAAGCTCATCATCTAATAAACCATTTTGTTAGTCTTTAAAGTGCTGCATAGTCCTCTCTTTTGTTTCAGTATGATAAGTAAACAAACATATTTAATCAAGCAGTCCTACAAAGGATTTGCTGTGGGGATGGTTTACACTCCTTTCAGTAATAAAGAAATGTCTAATTTACCAACATCTGTAATAGGACAAGTTAAAAAGCAAACAAAGCAAAATAAAAATATCCCACACCACACTTAATGCCAGACTTACACAATTTAAAGCATTTAGATCCTGTATTCCATGCTATTAGAACCTTGACAGATCACCAAATGCATATGCTATCTGTTTTGAACTCAGTTTAAATGCTGCATCTGAAAAGAAGGTATTTGCAAACAAGAAAACTATTTTTATTCCTATAGACATACAGTACTGTAAACACATAAATCTCTGCCTTTGCTATCAGCAATTCCAGGCATTGGGAAACATCCTAAATGGACAAGTGACCTAACCTAACAGGAGGTGATGGATGCATTTTACTCTTTAAGTCAAAAGGGCACTTAGAGTTGATTTTTACAACGATGGAAAAGATAACATTTGAGCTCTGCTTTGTTTTCAGACCTTTATCCTATGACTAAAATCTGATTTCTCCAAGTTGTTTACACTCTTCTGCTGTCCGCTGTCGCCAGAAAGCCTTTCTCTAGCTTCCTGTTCATTTTCAGGACAGTCACCTCCAAAGACTATGATTGCAGTAGGGCTGAGATACAGGGGAAGAAGGTTAGGGGAAATAGATATAAAATATGCTATCGTGACATATAATAACAGTGCGTCACCCAATACAGCAAATAACACCACAAAGATAGAGATGGACAAACTGTTCTGATGAAATAAGTATGTTAGGTGTGACATAAGCAGCCTCTTTCTGCTAAAGAGAAAAAAAAATTGATATCTAAAAGATACATTTTATCTGCTATAATTTTGTCTATGAGATGTTAAGTGCCCAGTTCTTCTGCTTTAAATACTCCCATGATTTCCACTGAAGTTGGGTGCATATGCAACAATGCAGAATCAGGATCATCAGAACACAAAATGTCAAATTACAATATGGGTTACATGTCCATACAGTGAATGTACAGCATTTGTAGCTTTCTCAACATTTATACCACACTTACCACAGTAGTACTTCATGAATTCTAAAAATGATACTGCAAAACATATCTACTTTTCTTGTCCACGCCAGCAGGACTAATATTATATCTGTACTCACTGCAAAATAGTCTGAAATTGGCACTCACATTTCCAGCTGAGGCCAGCCAGTGAAGATGACGGCTGAAAAGATAATCTATCATAATCTGGAATTATCAGACCCTGTAAACATTTCCATTGTACACACCTGTTGAGATTTCAGTTGGAACATACAATATACATTCCACTGACACCACAACCTAGACTCAGTCAGTGCTTCCATTGAAGTTAATGACAAAAATGTTTACTAACTTCAGTGGTGACAGTCTCAGAGCCTGTGTATTAGAAGTCACTGCACTTATTTTAATGTTCTTTTCAGCATAGAATTAAGACCTTAAACTTCTAAGCAATCAGGTTTCTCCCACTGGATCTGTTTCTTTTCCTAATGCTATCAGTTCAGCTAATGATATACATGCTTGGTACTTTTATAGGCAGCAGTAATGGTTGTGTTGTTATTTTTTAAATAATATTGTAAGTACAAGAGAACTAGGGAGCTGAACTGTCCTGACATGAAATGTTTTCTTTCCACTGAGGTGTTTTCATATTAAACAACAGTACTTTAATATCAAGCATTTTCTGCTGCTTTCATAGCAGCAAGAACAAAAGTTATCTCCAATCCATCTGAGTGAAGTTTATATAAATAAGTAATTGCACTGTGCTTAAGAACTACTATAGTCAGCAACACTTGCTATCTGAACTACATTCCTTAGCAGTTAAGAATTAAAGATGTATTACAGGGGAAAGAATCTAAATTTAAGTATTTGTTTACAGAGGCCATGGCAAGGATCTGAAGGTATTTGTGATAATTTACAACACATTTAGTTAAATGATCTAGCTTTGAAAAATGGGCAATTCAATACAGCCCCCCCCCCCCCCCTCCCCCCCCCCCCCCCCCCCGCTAGATGAAAATCTGTTTCTCATTCCTCACTCTATTTTTTGTTAGTAAGTTTCTTCCATGTGAAAGCTGTGGATGGACTGACTGTTTGTCAAATCAAAGGGTTCTGTTCCTATACCGAGCAAAGAACGTATGGGCAGCAAGAGTGCAAACACTCCACATGTCCCTTGTACTGTTTCTGATTAACGCCCCCCCTTTACTGCTATTTTTGTACTGAGCATCTTTGTTTGTAAAGTGCACAATCTCCCCTTTACCTCTTTTTCATGATGGCCAAGCCCTTCCTCTGGATTTCTGAGGTTGAGGATATGCACTTCCTGTGGCAGGCCAGTTGTGCCTCTGCTTGCACAACCAGATAAGACTGTAAAGCTCTCCAGCAAGGCATGAACTGGGTGGGAACTATTGACCGGTGATAACACACATTCACTTCTAGGCACAGGACCTGCAGAGGAAATCACAGATATACCATTCAGAGACATGAGCCAGAGTAAATTTCATATCTTTTAAACTTGAATTGTCTTTGTGATTACAAAACCAGTTGGAACATAAGTAACAAAAGCTTCAGTTAGTTATTTGCAACATATATTGGAAATAACTGCTTTAGTTATTATAAATAACAATTACTTTGTTTATTTACTTATTTTCCTTTTTGGTGCTAGACCTTTAATTCATTTCTGTGACAATCTTCATTTGAATTATGTATTCCTCTCCTTCCTAAAATTGTAGGAAGTCCACCCTACATCAAGAAAGTAAGGAAGGAAATGAGGATTGAGGGGAAAAAAAAGAATCAAATAAAACCCGGGAGGGGGGCGGGGGAAATTGGTTTGCCTGATGCAGATTATTTGTCTATGTGAAACATCTTTATTGCACAAAAATAGAAAACAGAACTATGCAAAATCATACATATTCCTTTTGAAGTAGAGCTAATATATAATGCAAATATACCTTGCCATATTACTGCAGACATTTATCACGCAGTGCATTGAAATATTGTTTGCCAAGTCAGTTTTGAGTGTGACAATGATTATCTAAACGGATAACTATCTAGTCCAAAAATTAGTCAATGTCCTTTCAAATAATCACTGCCATACTCTCTTTTTGTAGTCAAGACAGTGTGATGTGACACCGCAAGATAGAATGGCAGTAAGAGTATGGAGTAGTTTACATATGAACTATATCTTCAGGAAACTAAAACGAGAAATATATATGAAAAGCAGCCCTACTTTTCAAGCACACCAGTTACAGAAACAGATATAGTATGTTTTTGACTGCGAAGGTCATTCAAGACTGTAAGGAGAGTTGATTTGCACCAAAGAAGGAAATTTGATTCAGATGCATGCCAGGTTAAACCAAAGATTATATACAGAAAAGAATGGCCATTGGCTTGAAGAATTGTGATCTCTCAACCTGACATAAGTTTGCTAGAAAAAAAAAAAATTTCCACCAAAGAAACTTTGAAATAAAAAATGTCAACAGAAATGTTTTGCAGATTTTCTATGGTTCATAAACAGTTACAATGTTGCTAAAGATTATATCAGACCCAAACTGTGTAATCTGTAAGCATTTTTTTATTATTGTCTTAGAATTGACCCATAGTTTGCTTATTACATAAATAAGCAAATAAATGGATGGTTTCTTTTAAAAGAGACTTTTTTCCTAAAGAAAACAAAGCTGTGGAGAACAATCACATTTTTTGCAGTGCCTTAGATCACGCAGGTCCTGTCCTGTGAAAGGGGCTGTTACGATTCTAAAACCCACTGGAGCATACTTCAAATCCTGCCAGCTCCCAGAGGACAGGCATGCTTTTAAAAGGCACCGCAGGAGGCATGATTTACACCTGCCCAGACATGGAGTGCAAAAGATGAGCAAACAGCACCCTCCCAACAGGACAAGTTGGCAAAAGCACAGTAAACGTGGACTTCTGGGAGATTATGAAATGTTTTGAGCAAGAATAAATGATACAATCACACGGTCACCCCCATGCTTTATGAAAACTGGCTTATGAATATGCACAACTCAAATATGCTTTAGACAAAATACCTCATGTAACTTTTTTTTTTAAGTTACAAACTGCTGAAGGTATATATCCTATTTTTAGGCATGTATCATTCTTGTATGTGAAGTTAGAACAGGAGATGGCCAACCAGACAGACACTAAGGGCTCGTCTAGACTATGCTGAAGTTTTGAAAGAGGATATGCAAATTCCGCGGGACATTAAGGAGATATGCAGTAATTTGCATATCTTCTTCCGATACAAAGTGAAAGTAGTCAGGACACGTTTTTTTCTGCAACCTCCCCTTTTTTCGAAAAGCTGCATAAACCTAATTTTTTGAGGAAGAGCGACTTTTCGAAAAAAGGGGGGTTGCTAAAAAACCACGTCCCGTTTACTTTCATTTTAGAAAGCTCTGCTTTCCAAAGTGAGATGGAAAAAGATATGCAAATTCCCGCAGAATTTGCATATCCTCTTTTGAAACTTCAGCTTAGTCTAACTGAGTCCTAAGAGCTAAAATAGCTGTAGATAGAGTGCAAAGAGCCACAAACCTCTCCCCCAGAGCCAGGCACTCCCAGCATCCCTCTCTCTAACCCAATGCCCTCCCTCTCCCGCAGAGCCAGGCACCCCCAGCCTCCCGGTTCTAACCCAATGCCCTCTCTCTCCCGCAGAGCAGTGGCATAGCGAGGGTGTTATGTGCATTTTGCCCCCCCCCCCCGAATCATTTACGCCAGGGCCCCAGTGCAGCAGTCCCAGGAGCAGCAGCACTTGCATGGTCCCCAGGCCCAGGGCGACCCCAAGCCACCTGTGGGGAAGGAGCGGAGCAGTGGGGCGCATGGAGGGGCTCTGCCCCTGCTCTGCTGCAGACTAGTGGGGGTCTCTGGGTCCCAGAGAAACTAGTCCCAGGGGGCGGGGAGTGCTTCGCAGGCTGTTCCCTCCCCATGCTGGCTGGACCTGCTTTTCCAATGAGTGGCGAGGACAGCACCTGGGCATAGTGGGCTGGGGCTGGTGCCCAGGCTCTGAGGCAGTTCTTGGGAGCACTCAGCTTTTCTTGGCGCAGAGACTCACCTTCCTTTCCCCACCCACACACCTGA